CGGAACCAACTCATCGATCAAAATGTCTGCCGAAAGCCAGAAATGCATTTCCATTATAGAGATTTATTGACAAAAGATCACCAATAAAAGCGGCAGTTTTATTTACATTTTTCACTTATTTTATGTTAACGAATAATTCATGTTGAAACATATATACATACAAGTATACATACATACAATGTATATTGTACGTTGTCTGTCCACACACGCGCCCTCTGACTGAGTGGCTGACAAATGGAATCAGTTCAAAGCCATCACCACAGATGATCACTCACAAATGTATGTATGTATGTACATATAGTCGTATGTGTGTATATGCACGTTTGTAATTTTGTAAGAAATGTGGAAAATATTCAAAATGATCTTACTATGCGCTCCAGTTACTTCCTCATCAGTTTCTCGCAGCGAGTGGCGACTGCGTAGGTGGATGTCCATTATGTTGTATGGATATGTGAACGAGAAGCGCATTAGCAAGCATACATAGCTATTCATATAAACTAACATTAAAGTTGCATATGAAGCGAGTGACTCTAGTGAGGCTTCTTAGTGGCTGGATGATTGGTGGCCATGGTTCGGTGTATGGCATCCGCGTTGACTTCCCTCTAAAAGCGCTGCTGCTATTATTGTGACAGACTGAGCAGACATGCGTTTACACATTGCCTTAACGCTGCGTGCAATGAGGCGATGAGAGCATTTCGTGCTGCTAATAAGATTCACTACACCCCCACCAACGTCAGCGCCCAGCTGTCACAAAGCAATGTGCGTTGGTGTGTGTGTGTGTGTTTATTTGTCTCTTTGTCTTTGGTCTATGTTCACTATTCGACCTATTGCCAGCCTATTGTTGTCTACGCCAGCACGTCTATGTCAGTTGAGCAGCAGCTATATGTGCACACGTACATACACACATAATTGTTGTTGCTGGTGATCGCATGGCCACGGAGTTAATTCGTTGACATTCATATTTAATAAATTACTCGCATTCTTTTGGATTAACAGGCGGTGGGGTGGCTATGACATGTGGCAATTTGTTGTTGTGGCGGCGCGCAGATGAAAATTTGATGCTGTAAGGAAGTACATACACACATGTCCTACATATATTGGTTTCCTCAACATATGTTTATGCTTAGAATTTTTTGCCCAGAATTCAATTTCTAAGCGCCAACGCCATCATATACATATACAAACATACATATGTAAATTCTACATGTAATTGTATTTACAGTTAAATCGCTTAATTTGTAGCTGTAAATTGGCTTTTAAGTGACTTATTTGTACACTTGAATGGGAATTCTGAGAATTTCAAACTTTTGCTTTTTGTCGCTTGCGATCTTTCACTTTACATGCGTAAGACTTGTTGAGCTTGTAATGTAGTAGGTCGGTTCCTAATTCAAAATAGCAAGTAGAACAATATTTAATATATATATATGTATATAAATAGGCCTTTGTAATCGCTTATCTTTGGTACGCGTTTTTTTGTTTTTTCCTACAAATGGAGGGACCTAGAGTTTATACTAAGCGGCCTCCGAGTGGTCGACGGATTTTTATGAAGACTTTTTCATGTCAGAAATACACTCGGAGGGCTTAAAATTCCCATCCCGAGGGGCGACCGCAATTATAAAAATTAATTTTCTATAATTTGGATGTTTTTTTTTGAATCGGGGCTCAGAATGGCAGTACGCAATGACATACACTCGGCTATTACCGCTGTCAACATAGTCTCCATTAAAAAGAATACCTTGGTTCATACTGACGGTCATTTTATCCTCAATTTTTGCAACTAATTTAATTACTGAACACTTTTTTACCTTAGCATCACTTCATGTAACTCACCTTCGCTGAATAAACCTCTTTTTGATTCCTAACGTCAACAGAATCCAAAATTTGTATTACTTTTCTTGTGCTTAGCAAACGTTAGTCTTTCCTTAACCTTCTTCCTCGAAACATTTAACTGCCGCCAAGCAAATAGCCCATTTAAAGAACTCCCTATCTCCGACGATGCCCAACTGTTTGCGCCGATACTTTTAGGAACACCGTAAAATTCTACCCTAATTTCAAGCGTGGTTTAAAAAAGACTCACTTTATTAACGTTAACCATATTCCTACCACCAATAGTTGTCATCATTCGAAGCTTGTGCTTTTGAAAGCATTCGCAAATAAGCTGTTCGCTCTCCCCTTTGAATTAGTCGTATAAAAATCTTATCGAAAATAATATCAGGACTAATCTGCACAAGACAAATGAAAGTCTTTCTAAAAGCAATAATATTTTCAATGGAAAAGTTTTGGCAATTTTGATGTAAAATGTATTTCGGAAAAGCTCATTGGATGATTTTTAACGACTGTTAAATGCATAAAAATGAAAACTTACCAAAAACAAAGATATCTTTTTGCAATATTATTAAAATACAAAAACAAATTAAGAATTACCACTCCATTCCCGTCTTGCTATATAATGTGGTGGCACAAACGATAAGAATACCAAAGCTTTGAAAGTTTTCAATGCAGTGGGAGCAGAAGAAGACCTCCACTCCGTTTATTAGTATTTCAAATTGACGTTAACTCCGCTATATCTTTGCCAGCAAAGAAGCAGAAGAAGGTTACGTTCACTGTTGAATAATATGTGGACTTAAAACATAACGGCGGCAAAATCCTGATCAATGTAATAAAGGCTTACTTTGGCAAAGTTCCTGTTTAGGATATTATATTCTTGGGTTTACGTTTCTTAAATTTGGTTCATTAGTTGTAAAAAAAGTCATCACTAATGCATTTAAAACCTGTACAACATAAGTAACCTGTTGGTATATTGCATAATATTGCTTACTACTTATTGCAGGAATACATACTAGTAGCGAAAGGGTTAAAAAGCTATCTGAGAAAAAAGTTGTGGTATATGATAACAAAGAAATTCGTGTAGTAAAGACACAAACCGAAAAGCAGGGTTCACTGAATTACACAAAATAAAATTAAACACTATATTTTTGAAATATCAATTTAAATATTTAAAATTATAATCTTTGAAATATAAAAGCGGCAGCCAAAATAGCATATTAAATCAGACTGAGAGCGGGCATTGATCTTGCGCTGCCCTGAAACCTTCCACATACAAATCTGCTTCAATTAAATCTATGGAAAGGCTGTAATCGCTTAAGCGTTGTCCATGCCAGTCAAGAACAAGATAATTCAATGCAAATTTTAATTTAAAGAAAAGGGAAGCAATCTTATTACAAATGTATACAAAAACCTTACGTTTAAACCTTATACAGATCCACGTATCTCAAAAACTTACCGACCGATTGACTTGAAATTTTGTCAGATTATTTCCGCTGTTCCTAGAAATGTTAGTATAAAAAATTCTTATTATAGTTCCAAATTCAGTACCTAAGTGACCTTTTGGTTAGATCAGCAATGGGACAACTTTTTCTTTCGTGAAGCGGAACTATTCGAACAAACCTTATTTTTGGTACAAAAACGCTGATAGTTTCACTACCAAATTTTTGACACTAAACTTGTTTGCTCAAAATTCAACTCTTACATTTTTTATTATTCTGTTATATTTTCAGCAAATACTATAATATTGATGCCGATGTTTTGAAATTTTTATCTCAAGACGATTTTCTTAGGCGGTAGAAGTAACTCACCTGTTAATAGGAACACTCAAGGGAATTGCGGTATATTACAACTACCGCAAACTCTGCACATGAAATATACATACAAACCTCTTTCCTTGGCTAAGTATTTGTTATCACTAGCCTTCATTAGAAGGGCAAATAACAAATGACAGAGAGAAACCACGAGCAATTGATCAAGGTGAACAGAACTAAGTACTTACTCCTTCTAGGCATAACAACCGACGTAATAACCGCATAATGCTAGAAGGATGGGTGACTTCCCGAACCACCTTTACCCCAGCTGCAGAGACATAGATGAGAAGAAGTCGGTGTTACATTATATCACTCAATGCCCAGCTCTCAGTGCGGTCGGTTGTGGTCCCTTGGAAATTTCCCGGAAGTTCATAAAACACACCAAATAGTTTGATCATCTGGAACAATAAGGGGAATCTTCATCGTAGAACCAAAATAAGTATCACAGAGGGATAGATTGAGAACCCTTTTTTAACTAATTAACTGACTTGATTTTCAAATCTCAAAATGTTTAGGGGTTTGATTAAATTCAAAAATGAAGGGAATTTCAATAGACTTTTACGACTAATAATGTAACTATCAAATTTTTATGATTAATTTGCACTGCCTGTGTGAACAGGGTTTAATTAAACTTTGAGTAGGACAGTTGGCAGAGAAGAGCATAACATAAAGTGAAATTCTGTAGCCTAATTTTGGAAAAATTCATACTGTTTTTAATTGATGTGGTGCAAAAAAAGCACGAAAATATTTTTTCTGGAAAAAGTGGAATTATAAGAAATTTTTATCACACCAGTCGAAACTAAATTCATCTTTTGATCGTGGTCTTTGGTGATAGTAAAATTGTTTAGAATAATTGTTGAAATAATATTTTATATTTAGGCTTAAATATATATAAATCTTTTTTCCCCTTGAGGTAGACGAGAGAAAATATAAATTTAAGCAAATATTTGAACAAATATTCCATATTTTGTTAGAGCTCAAGATTTTGTTCGAACACTTTTGAGCAACATGAGCATTTGAGCAACGACAACTCGCACACTACTTCCTTGCTCATTGCTTGAAATTTTGCCAGCACGGCCTCGAGCAATTTGACCTTTTTCGAGCAAAAATGTTGACTTTTTTTCTCCAGAATTTTTAATTTTTAATTTATTTATGCAAAGTGAAAAACTTATTGAAATGTTAATGAGATTGTGACAAACAAAAACAAAAATTGAAAAATTTCAAACAACCATTTGAGCAGTTGAGCCACGATTAAGCGTCGACTGTGTGAGAGATTCGTTCGTAATTAATTACATAGAAGAAATCAAAGACTCTTAGAGGCTAAATCTTATTATTAGGAAATTTCAAAAAATTTGTTCACTATTTTTTTTGTTCGACTTATTTAGTATTTAATCTTGTTTTTATTGTAAACATATACGTTGCTTTATTATGATGTGTTAGATCGTTTTTTTTTTTTTTTGGATTTAACTGATCGAAAATCCTAGTGAAAAATATACGCATTCTGTTTATGTGTAAACCTATATACATAGATATATAAATAGTTAATTACATAAATTATATAAAATGCACACAAATAACTTAGAAATAGTAGAATAATAAAATAAAAATAACATTTTTGATTGTAGCAATTAAAAGGAAAATGCAAATTTTACAAAAATAATTACATATTAGAGGGAAAAAGTGGACAATACAAAAAGTAAGCGGTAAATACAAATACATACGCATATAAAGTAGTGTAGTTACATATTATATTTTAAATATATTTTACTTAAATTACTAAAATATTTTAGTGCTGATATTGGCAGGTTGCTTCACACTGCTTTATGCATTTCACTTTAATCCCTTGTGAGGCGCTGTGCTGTTCCTGGCGTATCCTTGCTTCGGCTCCGAGAATTTTTTCCTGCTTTTTCCTGCTCTCTGGCGTTGCTGTGGATATTTTTAGCGGAGTTTTATGTTTTCGTACACACAAAATACATCAACTGACCTGCAGCTTGCGCGGTTTTTGAACTGTTTTTTTTTTTTTCAAAATATTTTTACTATTATATATTAATTTATTTGTGAACACACAGCTAAATATGTATGTGTATATTATATATACTATTTAAATACTGAAACGCAATCTTGAGCCAGTTAATTTCTTTTTTTAAATATTTTCTTTCAAAATTTTATAAGGCACTTTTTTTTAAATTTCATTTCGTTTATGTTTGCTTGTATGTTCTCGTATTTAAGCATAATCACGTGCACTATCCAGTTTTCTCATCTGTATATTTAAGAAAGGTGAGACACGTTTTAATAGACAAAAATCTATGATATAAATAAATAAGATTAAGAGAATTAAGCGAATGAGATAAGCAATTTTTAGCAGATTATGTACAAATGTTTTTTTTTTTGTGTATGTATGTATGTATTATGAAGAAATCAATAAATGTTAATATATAATTGTAAGCATGTAAATTTGGATATATAAATTCAAGTATGTTCAGATGTGTGGGTATGTATGTTGGTATGTACATATGTAAGTGCAAGTGTGAGAGCAGCGCATAAGCTTATATACTAATAGTTTATTTATTATAATTTTTTTTTAAATCCAGCATTCGAGTGTACGGATCGCACGAAATATAAAATTATTTAGCCGCATGCAATAATTAGTTCGCTCAACTTTTATTTTATTTTTTTCAAATATTTAGTGATTTTTCTACTCAACTTTTATACACGATCCGCACATACAAACACTCGAAACTCCAATGCTTTGATAGTTTTTTGCTTTAATTCATTTTTAGTATTTTGCATTTGTTATTGTGTTTGATGTTATTTTTTCTATTTTTTTTTTGAGTTTTTCGAGTTTTATTTTTTTGATTTTCAATAAAAATCTGAGTCTCTCCAGCCTTTAACTACGCTCACCTCACGCTCATCAGCGTGTGTCCGATACTTATCGGACACCTCAATCACTTTCACGCTCGTATGTACCGCTGGTTTCTCCAGCACTTGTGTGTAGATAAGCGCCGCGGCGATACCACCTAGAATCGGTCCGACCCAGTATACCCAGTGGGCATCCCAATTGTCGACAGCGACGGCAGTGCCGAGCGTACGTGCAGGATTCATGCTAGCGCCGGTATAACGAATTGTGCCCAAGTGTCCGAGTGTGACGGAGAGTCCAATGGCGAGTGGCGCAGTGAAGCGGGAGTCTGGTAGGGGCATGAGAGAAAAGTAATTAAATAGAAAGAATTCAAATTGATTTTAAAAAATAAAATGTTAAAATATTTAAAACAAAATTCCAGAATTTCCAAAAAACCAGCTTAGATGTTTAATGGGGTTTTTTTTTAACTTTATTGAAACGAAAAATCAGTGAAACCCGCATAAAAAATAATTAAAATCTTAATGTAAAAATAATTAAAAAAAAAATATATATTTTTTCTAATTTTATTATTTCAATATTACAATTATGAGCTCATATTTTTTTGTTGAAAAATACAAAAATATTTCAAAATAATAGTAATAAATAGTAACGTAGCAATAACTTAACCATTATCATAATAGGGTTGGAAAATAATATTCAAAAAACTTTTGCAGCTCCCGTAAAAGGTAAACTATTATTTATGCAAGATGTCTTTAGTGATCTGCATCTCGCATTATTTAAATACGATTAGATTAGGCTAGATGAAGTTATAGAGATGATATTTTCCACTAAAAAGACAACAAGAAGTAGTGTTTTAACTCATCTCAGAGCTGGACACCGCCAAAGAAAAAATATGCCACATTCAACAATTTTTCTTCAGGAAAGGCAAAAGCACAAGCCAGGCAGTTGAAAATTTGTACGATTGAACGATTTCATTTGGTAAGACTGAGAGAAAAGAAGCTGCACGTGGGGAAAAGCCAATTGGCGGAAATCTCGATAAAATAATCGCAATCCTCAAGTCTGACCAACATCCAAGCCGGAAGCAGTGCTTGCCCGAAAGCTAAACTTTACACAAAAAACAGCTTGGGACCATTTGAAAAGAGCTGGAACACAGAGAAGTTCGTTGCATGGATGCCACATGAGTTAACTGCTGGTGACAACATCAGCCGGTTTCTAAACCAGATGGTAAATAGTGATGAGAAGTTGATCACTTAAAGCAGCTTCAAACGGTAGTGGTCAAAGGGTAGTGGGCCGGCACAAACCATTCTCAAGCCAGGGTTGACAGCCAGGAAGGTTTTCTTATGTTTTAGATGGGATTAGTAAGAAATCATCCACTATGAGCTGATCTCCTACGGCCAAACTCTTATTTTGGAACTTTACCGTCCGCAATTGGACCGTCTGAAGGAAGCAATCAACAGAGGTGGTTAGCGGAATTGTGTTTCATCAGCACAACGCTTGACCAAACATATCAATAGTGACTCACCAGTAGATCCGAGAGCTTGGTTGAGAAATTCTTATAGTGCGGATCTTGCACTAAAATATCACCTGCTCTTATTGCGAATGATATCGCTGATGAAGAATTTGAATCAAGAGAAGCGTGTGAAAATCGATTGCTCCACTTTTTTCGATAGGGACGAGGTTTTTTTTAGGAGAAAGGCATAATGACACCAACTTCAAAATGGTAAAAGGTTATCGAGCAAAATGGCTGCATATTTAGAATAAATTGGTTAAATCTAACTAAGGCAAAGAAAAGCCTTCAATTTATTGCCAAAATAATGGATTACTTTTTACTAGATAATTTTAATTAATTACAAAAGATATGTCTGTCAAATAATATACTTTCTCTTATTCCTTCCAATCTAACTTAGTAATGTTCTTGAAATTAAAAAAATGAAATTAAATTTAAAAAAACTCTAAACCACCTCACCTGGTTTACTGGCATCGCATGCGCCGAATACGGTAAGCACCAAGACAAGACCCAAAAAGAATTCAATGCCGAGCCCCTGTAGCTCGGTAATATTGGATAGAAGATGCGTGTGTCCCAAGCCATTGTAGTAAGCTTCATCGAGAAGTGTCTGAAATTAACAAATCAATTAGCAAACCAAAAAAAAAAATATAAGAAATAAAATATTTTTTTTTTTTAAATTATAATAAACGCAAAAAACATTTTTATTTATACTCACACGAACGGCTGCTGTGCCGGCTATGGAGCCCAAACATTGAAATATTATATAGAACACGGCACGCAAAACACTGACACGTCCCGCCACCAGTAAACCCACCGTGACGGCGGGATTTACGTGACCACCGCTAATATTGCCAATGACCTAAATTGAAATAAAAAAGATTTTTCAAATATTTTGCAGTAAGAATGAAAAAAATGTTTTCACATATTGGGTGTTTAAACTTGACTCATGTATGTATGTACACGTTTGTTAAAATATGGTAAAAGGGGGAGTGAGGAAAAATTATATTTACTCGAATATACTTATTTTTGTATATTTTTTATTTAAATGAAGTAAAGCAATAACAACAGCAAATTTAATGACGTCATTAGCGTGCTTTTGATTAGACACAATGCAGTACAAAAATGCATTGTTTGTTTTTGTATGTATGTTTCTGTGTGCATTTCATATAAGCGCACTTGTGAAAGCGTTTGCAACTTTATTTTTGTCTAATGACACTTTCATTTCTATACTCGTCAGCGAAATTTGCTAGTATTTTCTTTAATCTCTTTGTTTTTGTAATGGAAAATTTGCCACAAAATTATTTCGAAAAGTAAAAGTCATAAAAATATGAATTAAAATTTGACATTACTCGGTTTGCGTTTATTTAGAATTTCTGTAATTAATTTTTGAATCGCTTGAGATGCAACCACATCAATAGTGTGGCATAAAACAGCAAAAACACTGAAATTGTATTTATAATGGGAAGAAACATTACACTTTAAGATTTTATTTCTTATAGCGCCAAAAATTTTACTATAGGGAAATATTTATAGGGTTATCCATTTTGTAGTTTCATAAGTACAGAGCTGTGTTTCGACATCTGTCAACCTTAACTGTCAAACCAAACATGTTTTGTTTATATTACAAGTCAGGCATTCATGAAAATTGCAACCAATAGCAACCACACAAACCAGTAAAATCGTTAAAACCACTACGAAAATGGTGATTCAAATGTGACCACGTTTCGTGATTTGATAGGAGATTATGATGCACATAATCCAACTATTTAGGCAATTGGTGGAATTTCAAAGAAATTTTAATACACTGCTTAGGTTACAGATTTTATAAGGACTCTGCATCATCATTTTGATCGTTTCACCTCAAATAACTCCACCTTAAGTGAAAGTGTAGCCAAAGATTCGAGTTTGTCTACTTCTGTCCGTTCTCATGACACCTACAGCCATATCAAGTTCAGTTCGCACTTCAACCGAAGTCAGCCGTACATACTCGTACATCGTTGTGTGCTTGAACAATAAGCAGTTTAGGCGTTTTTATCGAACAGCGACAAGTCACATTTCTTACTAGGGGGATAAGTAAATAAGCACAATTGTCACATTTGGGTCTCCGCGAATACTCAAAAAATTTTAGAGAGGTCATTACACCCAACGCAACTTACTGTCTGGTGCGAGCTAAGGTCTGGTGATGTGTTTGGGCCTCGCTTCTTTGAAAACGACAATGGCGAAACTGTCAATATCAATTCGGAGCAATTATAATCGTATAATAACCGACATATTTTGGCCTCGACTTGAACAATATACAAACAACACGAGCGAATATGGCTTTATTTGGAGGGGAGATTGTTCGGTTGCATAATTTTTGAGCACCGATATCGGGCGATTTGAAATCGTTGGCCGTTTTTTTTTTTTTTAGGGAAGCTTCACGAAATACCGTGTTTATCTGTACAAATCTTTAACTCTTGATCACTCGAAAATGTAGAACTTTGCAGCCCTGAGTTTATTTTTCAACAGAATACCACAGCTATAAATCGAGATATGTCAGCACTCTACCGACGACTCAGAGACCAGATTTGAATACGTTAACGAACTGTTTGTTCATGTTAAGGACGCAAGTAGTAAAAGTAGATAGCTGATTTTCAAAGTTTATTGAGATAATAAAGGTACTACTGTCAAATTAACAACAAAGCTAACATAAAGTCTGGATCGACTCTAGTGAAAACTAAATGCAGCTTTGCATCTGAGAGATGGTTTGAAAGGTATATTGCTCTAATTTGAGGGAGGAATTGTGTTTAGTAGTAACCGGATTCAAGAAAAGAATTGAGTCTCACGAAATCACTGCTAGGAAAGTTTATCCCTTTTACATTGCATTTTTAATTTATATTTTTTTATTTATTTAAATGATATCATTTCGGTAATTCTTTCCATCAAACACTATTTCAATCACTACAAATTACTACAATAACGTGTTAAAAATTGTTGAAATACTGTTCTAAGAGAATAACATCCTTTTAGGATCACTTCAACACATTAAGTTCTGTACTTTGAAATTGAAACTGACTTAAAAATATTTTAACCAAAAATAACTCTCGAAAATGTAGTTCAAGTGCAGTTCAATTTTATATAAAGCCTGTTTTGCAAAGAAAAATTTAAACTTTGTACTGACTGGTATTTGCACAAGCATGTACTACGAGTATGCGTGTCAAACGCAGCTATCAATGACTAAGGAGTGAAAAATTTATATATTTTTTATTTAATTAAAAAGGAAAACGCTAAAAGAGAATTTGGTGCAAGGAAAACAGGCAATCAACCAACACTGTGCACTTTTTAGAATTATTTAATACGAACGCCCAAATGCGTATATAAATGCGTATATAAATGTGTATATTCATTCAGCAATTTATTCGACTGTCGCCGGTTAGCATAGCCAAGTATAGCCAGCCATTTAAGGATATGCCCGTGAGTGACGTTAAAAAAATTATAAAGCGCCAAATTTGTAGAAATTAAAATAAAAATGAACAGATAAAAATAAATTTTAAACAAATTGAAATAAAATCTGAAAGCAATCTAAAGAAAATACATACGTAACTTTATATACGCACACACCTTAAATAACATCGATATGCTTTGATTGGCGTCATTTAATATTTAAATATGTACTTACCGTAATCGCTATGAAAACAGCCAAGCCAAAAGCCAACGCCTTAAATGTGCCATCTTCAGGTTGGGTACATGCACCGCATGCAAAGAAATTCAGCAAAAAGTTGCCTAAAAATTTACAGTAAAAAATTTTTATTATTATTAAAATAATTTACGACGACATTAATATAATTTCATCATTAGCATATCGTTATCATTCACATATATTTAAATAACTTTATTACATATAATTAAATAAACATTAAATTATTAAAGCTGTATGTGTAGGTATGTCTGTACATACCTAGAAATTCCGCTACGAGCGCCTGCCAAAGGCGGTGTTCCTTTGACTTCAGCTCATGTACGCCAAGTGAGTATTCAAATTTTGCTGGCATTTTTGTGTTTTTGGCTTTACTATGATGTGCGTATTACTAAACTACCAATTTTGTAGAAGTACACAATTTCCGGCAGTGAATTATAACTGAAAAAAGTAAGTAAAATTTTTTGAAAAAATGTATTTATGGTTGCTGTCAAAGTAAGAAAAAAAAGAAATAATAATTAAATAATATAAAAAAAAGAAACTGTTATTTATGTATTTTTATTTAAAAATAGTGCTAAATTATAGATATTCTAAAGGAATGTGAAGCAGAGTGTTATAAAAAAATAATTTATTACTGTTAAAATGAGAAAAATTACGTAGCATAAATCTTAAATGTTTTAAAAACAATTAATTTAAAAAAAATATTTCATACAAAAAATATTTAATTTAATTACAAAGGAAACGTTGAATGTAGGCATATAATTATCGGATGTAAATTAAAAAAAATTAAATTAATTTATTGCTCTTACAATAAAAGCATGCAATTTATAAATAAAAATATATAAAATAAAAAAATTGTAATTTTGATGTATACAAACTCACTAAAATAGCCCAAAATTTGGGAAAATTTATATATGTACTAGTTCATGGGTGTGAGCTAAAATTTATGAAAAAAAACCTTAAAAATAATTTATTATTGCCAAAAGTAAACAAAAAATTAAATAATACAAAACAAAAAAATGTAAGATGTGGATATAGTTAAACTTAAAATATTTACAAAAAGTAAAAAATAAAATTAATTTTAATTTATTGCTGCCAGAAGTAAAAAAAAACTAATAAATGTATAAAAATAATAAAAAACAAAAAATTAATATTTTTATATTTTCAGAAATTATTACTCGTATGAAGAGGAGATATGAAAAAATATATAAAAATATTATATTTTTTACAAAACTCACAGATAAATATTTACATATTATATACGTACATACTAAATAATTGATGAAAGATAAAATTTATAAAAAAAGAACAATAAAAATAATTTGTTACTGTCGAAAGCAAAAAAATATTAAAGCTTTAAAACTGAAAAATATAAGATATTTTATCTATATCTTGAAAAAATAAGGTAAAAACAAAAAAAATTATTTGTTACATTCAGAAATAAAAACTAAATATATATTAAAAAAATACAAAAACAAAATTTAATATCATTGTACTTTTTACAAAAATCGCTGAAATAACATTAATTAGTTTATTAAAAATTATATACAATACATACACACTAAATAATGGATGCAAACTCAAATTTATAAAAAAAAGAACAATATAAATTTTTTACTACTGTCAAATGTAAAAAAAATAAACTAAAAAAAATATTAAATATAGATATAGCTGAATAAAATACGGTAAAAAAACTAAAATAATTAAAATGATTAGTCGCAATCAAATATATACATAAATGAAACATATATTATTTAAAAATATAAAACAATATATAAAATCTATTATATTTTTCCAAAAATTCACTGAAAAACATTAATTAATTTAAAAAAATAGGGTAATATTATGCCTGTAACTAACGAGTACGAAATAAAGTTTATAAAAAAAAAATACTTTAAAAACAATTAAATTATATTAAAATAAAAATTATTATAAATATAATATTGAAATTTTTATTTGCAAAAATTACTAAAAAAATGTATATATTTTAAAATATCAATGTATGAAAATATATTTCTGAAGAAAATAAGATAAAAAAAAAGAATTTATTACTGTAAAAGTGAAACAAAAATAAAGTTAAAATATATTAAAGCTTAGAAAAATTAAAAAATTGCAATATTCAAATTAAATAAATTTAATTTATACAAAGTATGTAATTATATGCGCGAACGCATACAAATCAGTCGTTACTTACTAAAAAAAAATGCCACTTAAATGGCAAACAAACTCTGGTAGACTACAACGGTGTTCGAATACCAAAATGTATAGATTCATACAAACAAACATGGGCACATATGCTCTATTGTGCCTAGTGTCTATCACCAAATTTATATGCACACGTTTTTATTGCCATGTTAATTACTTGGACGAGACTATTCGACGAAAATAATAAATATATACAGTATAAATATACAAACATACAAATGAACACTTAACCACGATTATATGTAAGTTCTTATAAGTACAAGTGACAGTATGTCTGTAAGCAGGCTTAAAAGAAAATATTTAGCTCACGATATATCAATTGGTAACCGACAATCGACTAAATTTTTTATGCAAATAATTTGTAAGCGTGTCAACTTTGCCACCAGCTATGTCAGCTGCGGCTGATTTTGCATATGGAATATCTGCATGCCAATAGTAAATGCGTACATATGTAAGTATAATTATGCACACAACTGTAAGACACATTAAACCATCACACTTGTACGCCCACCAGCCCATACATGCCCATAAATTCATAAGTATTTCTGCACTCAAACGCTGTGTGGTTGGCAGCGTCTTCTAGCGCTCGTGTCAATTGTACGCTTTCAGCTAGTAAAATGCATAAAATATGTTTTTTTTTTCGGAAATGCTTAAAAGTGAACAATTTACTTTTGTTTTGCATTCACAAAATTTTCACTCGCTCGCTGAGTTGCATCAAAGTGCAGTAAATAACTAAATAAATAACGTAAATAATGATTTCCACTGCATTTTTCTACACTTGAAAAATGATTTTAACTCGTACAGATTTTTATGATTTGCTCGTAAAAATTGTAATTTCGAATTGTAAACAATTTTTACTTCTTCGCAGCAAAGTGAAGTGAAATTCACAAAATTTTGTACTTGAAAATGAATTGAGTGAGCTATAACTGTGTAGATCTTGAGTTCAAGGTTAAGGTGAAATTATTAAAAAAAAATAATTATATTATTAATAGTTTGTATAAGTGTCCCTTTCTTATATCTGCGGCGGCTGCATACCCTAAGTCTTAGAACAAAGCCAATCAATCCAAAAAAGCTCAATCGAAAACAACTATGTACTACCGCACTAAGACTTAGGATGAGTCTTTGCTCATCTGTCGGCATTTCGTATTTCAGAATTTAACATTAGCCGGTTGTAATATTAAAAGGAAAGCATAAAAAATACACCAAAAAAGCAATATACTCATATTTGGGAAATAATTTCCAAGTCTAAGACCCGTGGAAATATTTTTTAATGAAATGTGAAAATGTATTCTACATTACGCTCATCGATATAAGTCTATTCTGCCAGTGAATATATTCACACCTGCCACCTTTTTGGGGCTTTAAGACCCGAATCAAATTACCCGAAAAAGAAATTGTTCGCACCAAAATTGGTAGAGATGCGACCGGATACGTCTAATTAGTATAACCCTTTCTTCATAAAATATAAAAATTATAGACTATTAATTCGTCCTGTGCACCCTATATGAAGAGCCTCCAGTTTCTCAACTTAAATTCGATAAAAATCATATTTTTGCGAAATTTCCTGAATTAAGTGAGGTGGATTCCAACTAAAAACAGGCTATGCAAAACCTCTTCTGAGATTACGTTAAAATTATTACCATGGAGTAATGTGCTTATGATTTGAAGAAAAAATAGTAAGATAATTATAATGGTTGCCAGGGATAGAGCGCTCTTATATAGGTCTAGCATATACGTGATCTACGTACAAACCTTGCTCCTTTAGCCTCCCTCACCTTCCTACTTGCCGTAACTAATTCGACAAGGCAGTCGAGTTGAAAACACTACGAGAAGCGATGTCGGCTTCTCCATCTGCTAATAGTGGACCGGCTTACGAAGAATTCATATTTCGTACATTTTTCTTCGAATAATGTGCAGTTTTGTCTGTCCAGATTTTATTATATGTAGGCGAAATTTTCCCTAATGTGAGTAAAACTGTAAAATGTTTCCAATACTAAATTCTGATCTTTAGACATATACGGTGTAGAAGGCCAATTGTCAAAAATATGGAAGTCGTCATGTACCGAATCGCTACAAAATCGACCCACTTCTGAAGCGGATGGTGACTTGCGATAAAATGTGGACCACTCAGAGCAATGTGAAAAGAAAACAGTCTTAGTCAAAGGACAGCGGACCGGCACAAGCAGTCTTTAAGCCCGGATTGACCGAAAAGAATTTGGTTTTGGAAAGAAATAATCATAAATACATGAAGGGTTGTAGCCGAAAAAAAGTATTTGAGAAGCTTTTAGACTACAAATTAATTGTACGTAGTTGAGAATTATTTTCTCCACTATGTGGCACCTCTCTAAACATTAAAAGTGAGCACTTTTCTTATACCAGACAGAAGTTAACCTCTAATGGCTGGGCATATGGTATCAGATCAGAAATTTCCGTATGAATTTAAAGAAACAATTAGGTATAAAACTAAATGCGAATTTTTAGAATAATTTGGGTAATCAATTGAGAAAAGAAATTATTTCATTTGCTCTGTAGAATACTGTTAGGTTTTTATTTTCAATATTTTTTAATGTTTATAAGCTGACCAAGTTTTTCAAATGAAATTGTGGCAACATTATCGCTGTGATTTCAATAGTACTTTTATTTAAGTTCTTGGATTTCAATTGAAAAATGCTCTATATTAAGCGGGTTGGTCCACAGCTGCTTCGACAATGTCAACTGGTGTTGTGACGTCATCGTATCAAATATTAAAAAAACAACGCATTTTCTACAAAATATTAACCAAATACTGTACATTATTAAAAAAAAGACAGCTACGATACGAGTATCTTTGATTCACAAAAATAAAACGTTCAATTGCTCATTATTAAGAAAAATAAAAATATATTATAACCTTTATGAAATGTAAAATTTTCAAATCACAGTGTTGCCAGTGACCCATATAATCCTACACACTTTGAATTACCGCGCATATGCATTATATAGCATAATATATAATATGATCTCAACTATGTAAATATGGAGACTTGAATGTAACCACACACAAATAGAATGAGAGAGGTTGACAGAGAGAGAGAGAGAATTATGTCATGTATTTTAATTTAAATCAACACATCACATACTGACTAACTATTTGGAAGGCATACAACATTTTAGATATTACTATGTAGTAACCGAAACAACAACAAAAAACAATAAATGTAAAAAAAACACATAAATAAATGAAAATGAAATGGAAT